ATATGTAGAATTCTAGAATTAAAAAATCATACATTTAAAAATTTGGGTAAAAGATTATTTCTTACATTTTAAAGAAATAATTTGTTAGTTCTCCTCAGTATGATTTTTTTAAGTACAACAAATATTCAACTGTGATTTAATATTTGAAAAAAAAGAGACCAAAATAGAAGGCATATGTATATGTAATATAAAATACATATAATGCATAAAAAAGTTAATACTAAAGTACCCTAAGAAAAGAAAAAGAGGCAGGCTATAACATACACATAGAAAATGAAAGTGTAAGAGTCAGATGGCTCAGATAATGCACACATCTAGTTTGTCTTTGACACCATTGAAATGGTCAGTAAATGACATCACTGTGCCAACCACAAAGAAGAACTCCAGGCTCTCTGAAAAATATTTTTCAAAGCCCCAAGGAAACCTAAGCAGTCTGCAATTTTTTTTTCCAGTTTATGAAAATTGGATTCCTATAAAAGAAAAATGAACCATTTTTACTGCAACAAAAACTGATTTGTAAAAGCTGGAAGCAGTTTAAAAATACCCTTAACATGCGGTTCTTGTTAGTCTTGAAAAGTAAAAGTTATAATAAAAAAATGGTCCAAAAGTATGGTGCAGATACATGGTATACATAACTGGAAAAAAAGCTAGTCTTGCTCCTATTATTTTTAATTAGCTTCAAAAGCAAGTTCCACTTTACTTTCTAACACCAGTTCAGATTTTGGGAGGGGAAGATTTACATCTGATGCTCTGAGATTGGCAACTCCATAGCTAATGCCTTAGAGCCCTAATGCATTTTGCATTAGCTCTAAATGTTGGGAAATCCTGGCGCCAAGAGGTTCAAACTGATAGTGACACATGTCTAAAACCCAGGATTCACAGACCAATTGCCAATATCTATTTTATCAAACATCCAGTCTTCTTATAGAATGAGATAGATAAGTTTAACTGTTTTCACTGTTGCCTATTAAACTGCCTTGCTATCTTACAAAAATGCAGATATTCAGATTAAGAAGGGCCCCCGATGTGGATTTTAAGAAAAACACCAATTTGAACTATTTAAATTCTTCTCTAAATTTGGCTTAGTTTCTCAGATTTTAATACATTCATCCTATTACTGAACATTGTCATTTTATGAAGAAATAATTTTTCTTTAAACAATTAAAAAAACCCTTGTGTCATACAAATTAGCAATTTATTATTTATTACATGAATCCACTCAAACTGAAATATTAAGAAAACAGAGAATGAAAAGCCAAGAGAACTGGCTGAAGAGTATGCCACTTGGCACTGTCATATTGTTTCATGTTTTATCCCACATATTGTTATACTCAAATCATTACAAACAATGGTAATGATAAAAGTTCACTTTTTATACATTAATCAAGTATTATTCTTTCTCCAGATAACTTGACAGTGCTTATTTATCAAAGACATATGAAGAAGAAACAGGGAAAGAATTTATAAATCGTCTGGACCATTTCCCTGATTTAAAGGAAAAACACCCAACAACTCCAAATAGATAACATTTCCTCTTTTTAAGATACTTAGAGAATCAGCTTTTTCAATATGTAAAGATCAATTAAGCTATTATTCTATCACAGGTAACACAAATTCTTCATGTTGTCCATTAAGTCTGCTTATTCTCATCTTTACAGTAGAGATGAAGAATAGGAGTTCAACAACTTCTCTTTAATTAACTTGCATTTCTTGAAAAAGATTCCTATTTTGCTTAAAATCAGTTAAAATGAAAAATTTCAAAAATATTTTTGAATGACTATTATTTAATGAGATTTAAATTCACCTATAGGATATCAGGAGCTGAAATGTAGCCATAGTTTAAAATTTCACATTATGCAGCAAAATTATCATATTGAAATATGTGAATAATTATGTAAAGATTTAAAATACTTCAATCTTTGAATTGAAAAAATGCCACACTTTCAGATCCATGGTTACTGTTACAAAAGAGCTTAGAGGTCCTATTAAAAGGAGAATCTTAACCAACCACAAATGATTGAATAAAAGCAAAAAAGCAAATGATTCCAAAGTAAGTCAGTAAAATAGAGTAAGAAAAAGAAAACTATGAATCTTTGACTATATTGTGTAATGCGTCTGTGGCTCTGCTGATAGAGTTTAGGGTCCCTTCTTGTTTGTTTTATTACGTACCACAAAATTTGAGGAAATTCATTGCGAATTATTTCTTCTAAATATTAAAAAAGTGATATAGTTAAATGTGATTTAAGGCCTTAACAATTACAAAAGACAAGAGATGAAAGTCTTAACTTTCTCAGGGAAAGTTCTTTCTAAAGGGCAAACAATTCTCAAATGAAAATAATTATAAAAATTGTATCATTCTTTTGATTTGAAAAATAGTCTATAGTAAGTTTTATTAACTAATCTTTTAAGTCAACATTACTGGGCTGTGTCTTTTGTAAAGTAAAAGAAGCTACTTAAGCATTTTTACTTTTAAAAAGAAAGTAAAGGTACAAAGGTAAAAGGATTTCCCCAAAGTCATTTAAAAAAAATCTTATTAACAGAATGGAGGAATAAAATCCTGAAATCTTTGGACCCAGTACATAACTTGTAGAATACATTTATCTCTCTCAAAACTTTTATTATTTTATAAAGTAAGCATTTTCGAATACTGGAAATTAGAGATTTTGCTGAATTGGGCAAAAAAGGATTGTTTTCTATATTTTAGTGAAAATGTTTAGTTTTTAAAAAGTCACATAATTAAATAAAAAAATAAAGGCAAGTCTTTCTCAAATAAGTAATGCATGATTTATAGCAGTTGGTATTTTTTAGATTCACAGTATCTGCAGGAGATACAAAAATAATGTTTTGCTAAAAGTAAAACATAAATGGCAGAATAATCTTATAAATGCTATAAGCAAAATTTTTCAATATAAATATTAAGATCACATATCTAAATCATTTCTCCTTTCCCAATTATGTTTCAGAAAACATTTGTACAGTAAATTGTCACCTGATACAGTATTTATAATGATTAAACAGAGCCTCTATTCAAATAATTATAGCTAATAAAGCCAGAAGCATCAGAAGTAATCAAAAGCCATATGCTTTCTAGTATTTAACCATGTTTAGCTTTTATTTCCTAAAGCAAAGTGTTTCTTACTATGACAGTCTAGTACACAGATGAAACAATTTTTAAAGGGCTACTATTTAAACTACACTACAGAACACTGAACTACACATAAGGTTATTATATTTCATGTAATACTGCTATGATTTTCCACCATGCTTTTAAACTTTGGGTCATGACCATCAGCAAGTTGTAAAATCAATTTAGTGGGTTGCAATTTGCATTTAAAACGGGAAATGGAACATAATAAAATATCATTGTGTATTACAGGTAGAGTACCACTTTAAGCAATTTTTGTTTTACACATATATACAGGTAGATACATATATGTAAAACATTTACATATATGTATAGGTAGATACATGTATGTAAACAAATATGTATGTATGCATTAAATTCAAATATGAAAGGTATTTCTTTTAATGTGGGTTGTGATCAAAAGAGCTTAAAAATCACTACACTATGTTTTGTTTCCTCCAAATGAGACAGCATGCTATACTGGAAAGAACATAAACTTTGGTGACATATATACCTGAGTTCAAATTTTTGCTCCATCATCCTACTTGTGTGAATTGGTCAGTTAACCTTGAATTTTTAGAGCTGTGATTTCTTCATCAGTAAAACAGATATAATAATACTTGTTTTAAAATGTTGCTGTGCAAGTTAAAATATAAATGAGTATTTGTAAAACAGATTATATACAATGGATAATCGATAATGGTTGAAATTATAATTTAGTATTAGATTAAAATAGCATTACAAGTGATCATTAAGAGTTATCACACATTGGTTGCAACTGTATTGTTCATTTAAAAAATACATGAACATATCTTACATATAGAAAATAGCTTATCCTAATGAAAAGTAGAATTTCAGAAGAAAAAATACTTTAATAATTTAATGAAAAAATTAATAGGCTTAAGGGAAAATAACACTGTATCTGTTCACTGGACTAGCTTAATGTGAAATGTCAACTGTCAGCCTTAATTAAAATATTACACCTCTAGGAATGGTATGAAGAGGAAAATATTATTTATACTTTCTGGCAAGATTTTTAAAATCTGTTATATCATTATGTAATAAAGCTGGATATATGCTGTGGGGAACTTTATTATAATTGCAAAACAATACTGGCCTGATTTCTTTTTTCTCTTAAATATTTTATGCAAATGCCATCTAGGGAGGAAAAGTCTTCAATTTAATCAAAGCACCAACTTTTTAAAAACAGCTATGTCTTTGGTAATTGTTAAAATACATGTCTTGTGTTCTCATTTTATATTTTAATGGCTTTGGAAAACACTCAGAAACAATCTGCATTCGTTAATTAGGCAAAAGTATTGTTTGTGTCAACAGACAATCTATATTTTCCAACTTGAAGAGCATGTTTTGTTTTAGATCTGTGATCTCCCTTTTCTTTTTGAGACGGAGTCTCGCTCTGTCGCCCAGGCTGGAGTGCAGTGGTGCCATCTCAGCTCACTGCAAGCTCCGCCTCCTGGGTTCACGCCATTCTCCTGCCTCAGCCTCCCCGAGCAGCTGGGACTACAGGCGCCCGCCACCGTGCCCGGCTAATTTTTTGTACTTTTAGTAGAGACGAGGTTTCACCGTGTTGGCCAGGAAAGTCTCGATTTCCTGACCTCGTGATCCGCCCGTCTTGGTCTCCCAAAGTGCTGGGATTACAGGCGTGAGCCACTGCGTCTGGCCTTGTGATCTCCGTTTTTTAAACACAGAAAATGTGACTTCGTAAGTTACTTTAAAATCAAACAAACAAGTCCTTGAAAAGATTGAGGGTTTTTTCCCCTCTTAATGAAAAAGAAGAGAAATGGAGAGCGAAGAGAATTTTAGCTTTCCAAAAGCAACAGATCCCACACATTAGATTTTTCTTGTAAAACTTTACCTGCCAGGAAATGAATGCTGCCCAACAACATCTCCATTTTGAAGGTGGTAATCATTGAAGAAATCGGGACTTATGGCTCCTTCAGAGGCAATTAATCCATCTAGAAAGAAAAAAAATGGTAACCAGTAAAACACATGTGAAGGAAAAACCAGTCTATCAAGCAATACAATAAGAAAATAACTTGTATATTTAATCTATAAAGAAAAACGTTAGCATGACATGTTGTTCTCTCCGGGAGTGTGAACAGATGACCACATGTACCTTAAGTACTGGTTCACAATAATGCAGCACAATAACTGAACATTCATTGAGCATCTACTGTGTATTTGGTACTATACGATTACAGAGAGGAATTAGTCTCTGCCTTCAAGCAGGCTTATGGTCTTCTGTGGAGAAGAAAGACAGAAAAAGATAAGGAAGGGAAACAAGGTGGGGAGAGACAGTAAGGATGGTTCAGGCTAAGGAAACAGAACAAATATGGGCAAGGAGGTATTAAATAGTTTGGTATTGGTAAAAGGTAATACTTTATTGTATTTCACAGCTTTATTAGTGTAGCATGATTAGGGAATCAGATATACCAAATAAGTGAATTTCTAAATAAGCAATACTTGACAGTTTAAGTGCCAAACATTAAAATACACGCACAAACTTACATTAGAAATCTTCATATAGTTTATACTCCTTATATTCTTAAAAGGATATACTATACATATTTTTTGATTATTCAATATTCATTATAAATACTAAATATTGTACAGTCCCTAGGGTTAACAGATATATTTGATTACCTACGCTAAATAGCTCTATACTAGTATGCTTTTTGAGTTATTTTTCTTTGCTTATAAAATGCTTCTTTCCCTAAATTTAAGTATTTGTTAAGACATTTTCCTGATTATAGTTATGCTACTTTCTCATTTGTTCCAATCTAAGAATCTAGATAACCTACTTTTGATAGAATTATGAGTAAGTTAAGAATAAAAAGAATCTGAGGAAAAAAAAGATTTAAGTGATGGCTGCAGAGTTGTTCAATGCATAGAACAAACACGTTAGTATATTGCTTTTGTAATAACTATTTGGATAGCTTTGAGGCCTTTCAAAGTTTCCTTTTCTGAAAGTATGCTGGGCTGTTGAGTGGCCTGCAGATAAATGTTAGCTAGGTCATACCCACCACATTGTTTATACATTTGGCACACAGTATAGGCAAATTATTCAATCACCAAATTTTATACTTAGCACATGCATAATACTGTGCTAGGTCCTGTGGGAAATATATAATTTTACAATACATAACCTCTGTTTTTAAGAATTTTAGTTTAAGTGAAATATAAGACAAACACTTAAGATGCAATTAAAAATGTAATTTATAATAAATGATATACAGAAGGAATGGATATAAGTACCAAATGAGTGTGGAGGCAGTAAAAGGTATAGAGGGGTCAGAAAATTCTACTTGGGAGGGGAGGAGGCAGAAGTGTAACAGATTTGAGTCTGGAAAGGCAGGTAAGAGTTAAATGATGAAATCTGTTTAGGAGTAAGGGTCTTAAAAATTGAGTGAATGGTAAAACTAAGTAATAGAATTGGCAAACGAATTAAGTGGGGTAATTTGTATTTCCATAAGACTCCCATACTACTCATTTGATATATATATCCATTTGTTATACATCATATATTAATGACATATTATTTAATTGTCAAATTGTTAATGGATGCCTTTGGTATTTGTCCTATTACTTTACTAACTTTAAAATACGAGATTGCTTGAGTTTCTACTGAAAGTGTCAGTAATATTTAATCCAGTTTTTATGTGCACTAGACGTTAAAGTTTCTATAAATCAAAAAGACCAGCTAAACACTGAAAAGTCATAAAAAAATGAAATCATGGAAAATGACAAGACACCACAGATTGACAGTAAAGCAACGTAAAAAAAAATCAATTTTATATGGATTCTCGCCATACAAAAATTTGTGATTCTATATGGTAAACTTTTTAAAAATGTCTAGGACTTTGTGAAAGTGCCTAAAACTAACAAGGTTAAGAACACAAAAATCAACAAGTTCCTCTGTTAAATTAAAACCAAAGAATTGAGAATCAGAGTTTAAGAAACCTGCCAATTTTAGAGGAACAAAGCTAAGTAAAATGCCAAAATAAATTATATGCCACACGTGGAAAATACACACAGAGATATTTGGCATGCTAATTAAAATAAAATAATTTAACACTAAGAAATATTTCAGATATAAATAAAGACAAATGAAAAGATACATGAATTATGTAAAAAGCTATATGCTTATAAAGTATGACATAGTGAAGTGATCCAGGTTAGGCAGAAATTAAGTAAAAATCTGACCAAATTCTCAACATCTTATTTTTGATTCAGAATGCCTATTGTCTTCAAAGGGAACAATGAGTAGCAAAAGGATAAACAGAATACAGGGCACTAGAAAATGGGCAATCATCAAATAGAGATCAAATTAAAAATTTTGTACTTTAAAGATTCAGCCAGAAATTTTATAAACCCAGAATACAACTAGTCCAATAATATAATAAGTCTACTCTTATGTGAATAAAAAGAGTAAATTTATATTTCTGAAGTTTTTTTTTTTTTTTTTTTTTTTGACACAGACAGGGTCTTGCTCTGTTGCACAGGTTGGAGTGCAGTGGTACAATCATAGCTCACTGCAGCCTCAAACATCCAGCTAATTTTTAAAATTTGTTTTAGAGACCGGGTATTGCCCAGGCTGGTCTTGAACTTCTGGCCTCAAGAGATCCCTTTTGCCTCAGCCTCCCAAAGTGCTGGGAGTATAGGTGTGAGCTACAGTGCCCAACTTCATTTTTAATTTTCCTAGGACACTGTGGTTGATTCAGAAAGCTGCAGCTTCTACAGTGCCCTTTAAGGCTTGACAAAAGTTGGGCAGCTCTGACATGTGAGTAATCTTTCTTTACTAGAATGAGGTATAAAGATTCCATTAAAGCCTCTCATCTCAAGCATCTCAACTTCTTTGAAAATATCTATGTTTTCTTAACATTGTTCCACCAAAATTAATTCCTTTAGGGAAACATTAAAAAAGAATCACAGCTTCTTATTTATTCTCCAAATAAATCTAGGAGTGTCTTAAATTCCTACTCTAAACTTGTTGTTTCAAAGATACTAACAAGGAACTAAAGTATTTCATGTAACATTTAAATGATCAGAGAACAAACAGGAAACACAGATGATATACACCATAACCCTCTAAGCTATAGAGTATTATACACATTTACATTACTCAATTATATAAAACCTTTTAGACCACAGTTATAAAGTACACCTTTCTGAGATGCCCCAAGTAAGATGATAAAGACAGTTATGAACAAAACAGAGCATATATTAGAACAGTGATGAAACCAAAGCAAATTTGTTGTCAACACAGTAATTTATCAACCTTCTGATTTCTGAAAGCCAGTTTTAAAAAACTGGCTTATAAACATTAATTAAAAAAAATACAAAAACTCAATATCTTCTTATGTATTATCTTGTATATCATATATTCTTACTGAAATACAGTTTTTTTTTTTTTTTTTTTTTTTTTTTAACTCTTTTTCTTTTTCTTTTGGAGATGGAGTCTCGCTTTGTTTCCAGGCTGGTAGGTAGTGGCGCGATCTTGCCGCACTGCAACCTCTGCCTCCTGGGTTTAAGCGATTCTCCTGTCTCAGCCTCCCGAGTAGCTGGGATTACAGGCGTGTGCTACCACATCTGGCTAATTTTTGTATTTTCAGTAGAGCTGGGGTTTCACCATGTTGGCTAGGCTGGTCTTGAACTCCTGACCTCAAGTGATCCACTTGCCTCGGCCACCCAAAGTGCTGGGTTTACAAGCATGAGCCACCATGCCTGGCCAACTTTTTTGTTAAAGAGACAGGGTCTTGCTATTAATAATTGGCCCAGGTTGGAGTGCAGTGGCTGTTCACAGGCATGATCTCACTACTGGTCAGCCTGGGAGTTTTGACTTAATCCTTGTTGGATCTGGGCCAGATCACCCTTCCTTAGGCAATCTGGTAGTCTCCACCTCCCAGGTGGTCACCATAATGATGCTGAACTTAGTGGGGACACATGATTGGCATAGCTCATTACAATCCAGAGTTCTTAAGACTCAAGTAATCCCCTCACCTCAGCCTTCTGAGTAGGTGGGACTACAGGCACATGCCACTATGCCTGGGTAATTTCTTTTTCTTTTCCTTTTTTTGGTAGAGATGAAGTCTCATTACATTGACCAGGCTAGTCTTGAACTCCTGGCCTCAAGCAACCCTCCTGCCTTGGCCTCCCAAAGTGCTGGCATTAGAGCTGTGAGCCACCATGCCTGACCTCTTTTTATTTCTTAAAGTCAAATGAAAATATAATATTGGGCACAGTAATATATATAATATTGGACATATAATAATATATAATATCAAAATTATATTTTTATTATATAAAATATAATATATGATATTGGGCACAATAATATAAAATTCATATCATATGAACTAAAGGTGAAATTGTGACTGTATGGGAGAAAATAGATATCAATAGTATAGAATATGAGAAAAAGAAATAAGTAAAATGATAAATCTTATTAATAATTTATTTGACTATACTTTACAAGACACATCACAGAAATACACAGGTAAATGAAAACTATGGTTTTTACAATATTCCTGAGATAGAACAGACCATTTTCAGCTTCATATTCCAGTAATATATTCACATACTAAGAGTAAGATTCACTACAATTAATGAAGAACAATTAAAAAATAAAAAGTCATTTAGACATATGTTGTAGCAATACGGCTTTATAAACGACAAAATATTTCCTCTATGGGTAAAAGTACTAAAGCAAACAGCTTCATTTTCATGATAGCAAAGGACATTAATTAGTGACTACAATCACAATAATTTTAGACTAAGGAAAAAGTACTGTAACTAAAGGAGATGCTAGTTTTGTATTTCACATGATAATACTAAGATTTTTTTTTAAAACATGGGAGAATCATTCACATTTGACTATTAAATAGTCTAAAAATACAGAGTGATGCTAATGACTAGAAAATAGCAGATGCCATTTCATTTTAAAGTAAAAGATGAGACCCAGGGAATTACGAGCCATTCAGTTTAACCTCTGTGACTGAAAAGCCGCTAAAGCTGTTCTTATCAGAAACAGCCTAAATTTTCAGGGAGACCCAGAGGCTTAGAAACATGGCTCAAGCATTCAAACAAATCTGCAGTAGTACACATTTATCTGATGTTTTTTGATGATACAATCATACACAATAAAGGAAAGGAGGCTGATACTATCTAGATTTCCATGAGACACATCAAGAAATGCTACACAGATTCATGTAGCCCATGGACTATCCATGGAAAATGATGTATGTAAAATAATTACTAAACTAAAAAAAATTGCTTGCTATAAGAAATTTAGTTTTAGACTCACAGCATGTAATTTCTACTGTCAAATGTCTATCATATCAGGCTACAGATTAAAAAAAAACTAAATGTTTCTAAGTTTTGGTATATGAAAATATACATAACTGTTTTCTCACAAAAGCATAACTTATACATTTTAAAGTATCAGAAAAATATTTAGGATTTTCATTTTAAGAGGTTAATTTAATTTTGGAAATTTTGGTATAACTTTTTAGAAATCTGTTCTGAAATTTTAATTGTATTAAAACAACAATGATGAATACTGAGGTGGTTAATAGCTTTATCTGGTTTTGGAAACTGGTAATTGATTCATTATGAAAGGTAGCTATCAACCTTCAAAGCAAGAAACTTGATTCCAAGAATATTCTGATTTCTATTAACAAAAAAGTTCGTATCATATATATTTTACATCATCTTACTTCATGAATACTGAATATGTAAGTAACAGCTGTTTGCCATTACTGAACTAAGAAATTCTGTTTGGTTGAAATTAATGATCTACTCCATCTGGTTTGAAACACAAAGCAACATTTCATAACTACTGTAAAGTTCAGTTAGGAAGAAATCTATTTGATTTTCAGAGTAAAGCATAAATTTTCCATGATTTAAATATCTATACCAAATACAAAAATAATACATAATATCTATGGAAAATTTGCACAATACACAATTAAGAAAACACATGAATGAAAATGTGAGTGATATTATTAATGTGAGTACAGTGATCAGACGTAATAGTAATTTACATAATCATCCAATCATTGATCAAATTGTTCAGATAAAATGAGATAATACACAAAATATTTAGACAACATATATTGAGAACACTAAATGCATGGTAGAAATACATGGTAAAAAAAGTGAGTCACTAATTCAGATATAATCACTTTAATGATTTTTATCTTGAACTTGCTAGAGATCTTAATTATTATAGAAATCCTTTCCTTCTTCTCAATTAAATGACTTCAATGAAGTAATATTAATGTTGGCAACAGTACAAAATAGTGAAAGCTAGAATATGCAAAAACTTACCAATCTTTGTGTCAAACTCATCTTTGGAAAAAGGTAGTAATGCAGAATCAAAAAGGTTATAATACATGTAAGATTTACGTAAATATTAAATTTTACCTTGAAAACATTAGCATAGTTTAGAAAGAATAAACAATTGCTCTAAAGTGTCTAAATCTTCCCCAAGTTACCATATAGAGCTTGGTAGTTTGAAACTAAAGCAAAACCATGGCAAAATTAAACTGTTAAGATTAAATACCTTGGAAAACAAAATATGAATTAATAAATTATGCATTTAATAAATGCAGAAGAAAAATGAATATTACATTTTTGAACAGAAGTCAGAAATCTTGAAGTTGTCCATTTAAGTTACACATTCTAGCAAGTAATAAACTTCTAAGAACAATTAATTTTCCTGGCTACAGCCTTTTATGGAGATTCCATTAAAGACTAACTTGGAAAAAAATGGTAAGTTAATAGGTTTGCTTTTTATATATAGATGTTACATCCAAAATCATTAGCAGAAGACCATTCATAAAGTAAAAGAAGTGCTAATTAAACTTGGGAATGTGCAAGGCTGGCAGACTAAAATCTCTATTCATAGCATATAAACTGTTTATTTTCGCTTTGGTTATCACCTGAGTTGTAGAAAAGGTCAGGTCTTTCGAGAATATCTCCTTCATGAATGTATGGCTCAATTCGATCATCACCATACAAGTACTGCTCACTCTCGTCCATCTGACGACTCTCTACCATCTCCAGCCACTGGGAGTTATGCCAGCGAAACTTTTCACTCTGAATTTTCTTAGCCCATTCTTCATCATATTCCTGTTGAAAACAAACAGTTAACGGTTATTATATAAGCTAACTTACTTGGCACTCAGACAGCAATATTTTTGTCTCTTGAGAATTTTGGGGGGCCTTCATTGGGTCAGAGGAAGCATTAAAAATACCTGTTCAGAATTATTTTATATAATAGCCAACGAAAAGCAATTACATACATAAAGAAGTCTGTGTTTGTATTATTGATTACTAATGGCAATGGCAAACACTAGAAAAGTTCAAATTTCATAAATTCTTATTACATTAATATTGCCAGAATTTAAGCAAGCAGTAAGACTTCAGTTTCCAAAGAGTTCTTGTGACTGTAATTACATTTGACCTTAGAACAAAATGGATTTGAATTGCACAGGTCCACTTATACATGGATTTTTGTTCCACCTCTGCCATCCTTGAGACAGCAAAACCAAGCTCTCTTCTTTCTCCTCCTCAGCCTACTCAATGTGAAGACAACAAGGATGAAGATCTTTGTGATGATTCACTTCCACTTGGTGAATAGTAAATATATTTTCTCTTCCTTATGGTTTTCTTTAAAACATTCCTTTCTCTAGCTTACTTTATTGTGAGAATACAGTATATAATACATATATAAAATATGTTTTAACCAACTGTTTATGCTATTAGTAAGGCTTCCAGTTAACAGTAGGCTATTAGTTTATGTTTTAGGGGAGTTAAAAGTTATACATGGATTTTCAACTGTGTAGGGGGATTGGTCCCCTAACACCTGTGTTGTTCAAGAGTCAACTGCATTTGTGGCACTAATGACAGGTAGTTACCATAAAATGACATATTTTGCTGTATCTTTTAGTCTAGATAACACTAGGGGGAAAGCACTATTAAGTATTATTTTAGCTGCTAAAATGGTTTACTACAGAAAACAAATATCAGAATTGAATTTAATTTTTGTTTCAACCACAAATTAATGATCTTATTTAGTTGTAATTAGTTCTTTAAATGCTTCTTGTTTTGATCATAAACTCCTATGGAGCAAGATTAGGTTATTCACTGACAGGTGTATCTGTAACACTTGTCAGAGAGAAAGTTCTTGGTGAATGATTTTGAAGGACAAATAGGCAAATTACTGTAAGCTACAGCAGAACTTCTCCATCTTCTACTTGTCCCATAGGGTGCAGCTACTACTGATTAGTGTATTGCTTTATGGACAGCAGAAATGATAGCATGGATAGAAAATAAAGGGCTTCAGATATTTCATGTCATTGTTAGAGTTCTTGGTTTTAAATTCCTCTGTCATATCTTTAAACACATTTGGTTACAGCGGTCAAAAAGGAGTTAGAGGGATGTAGGGTAATAGCACTATTAAGGTGATCACAAAAACTAAGAGGTAGACCAAATATATATTTTAGTCAAATGCTAAGCAATTTCAACTCAAGCTGAGACTCAAATCAAAATCACTATCACAGAATACATTTCTGGGATATAAAAATAAAATCTGTAATTTTATAATAAATGTAATTATTATTGTAATTTTCTTGTTAAAATTATAACTTGTTCAAGTTTCACATTATCAGCAAATCCCAGCAGTGTCAGTTGTCAGATTGTATGTTCTATACTGTACATTTAAAAAATACACAGATGCTCCCTTCAACTGAAGTTGGGGAAGGTAGAGGATATTTTTTGACTATAGTACTGCTAGTGACAATTTTGCTATCAAATTATTAAACTTTATTTTCTTTTTAATTTTTATTTTAGGTTCAGGGATACATGTGAGGATTTGTTATACAGGTAAACTGTGTATCATGGGGGTTTGGTGTACAGATTGTCACCCAGGTAATAAGCATAGTACCCAAATAGGTAGTTTTTCAGTCCTCACTGTCCTCCCACCCTCTACCCTTAAGTAGGTCCTGATGTCTGTTGTTCCCTTCTTTGTGTTCAAGTGTACTCAGTGTTTAGCACGCATTTATAAGTGAGAACATGTGGTATTTGGTTTTCTGTTCCTGTGTTAGTTTACTTAGGATAATGGCCTCCAGCTCCATCCATGTTGCTGCAAAGGACATGATCTCGTTCTTTTTTATGGCTGAGTCCATGGTATATATGTACAACATTTTCTTTAGCCAGTCTACTGTTGACGGGCATTTAGGTTGATTACATGTCTTTGTTATTGTAAACAGTGCTGCTATGAACATGCACGTGCATGTCTCTTTACGGTAGAACAATGTATATTCCTTTGGTATATACACATAATGGGACTTCTTTTCTTTTTCCTTTTTTTTTTTTGTTGAGATGGAGTCTTGCTGTTACCCATGCTGGAGTGCAGTGACACGATCTCAGCTTACTGAAACCTCTGCCTCCTGGGTTAAAGTGATTCTTGTACCTCAGCCTCCAGAATAGCTGGGATTACAGGTGCCTGCCACCACCACCCAGCTAATTTTTGTATTTTTGGTAGAGATGGGGTTTCACCATGTTGGCCAGGCTGGTCTTGAACTCCTGACCTCAGGTAATCTGCCTGCCTCGGCCTCCCAAAGTGCTGGGATTACAGGCGTGAGCCACCGGGACTTCTTTTCTAATAGTTATCTATTAACATTTCTATTAGCTGTCAATCTATTTCCTAATGTTATTATTTAAAATTAAGTTGCATAAAATTAAGAGCTATCATAAACATTATGTAAAAAATAGACATTTTTTATTCAACTGATAGTTTTCATAATTAAACAACCGAAGATCTTTACCTCAGTTACATCTGTTACACTAAACTATACTTGAAATTGACTATTCAGATATAAATAATAAATCCAAATGCCATACCTCCTTAGTATTATTGATGTGGTCACAGTGACTGAATGTGATGGTAATTTATACAACCACTCAATCACTGATCACACACAAATTATTCTGCCAAAAGGAGATAATACATATAAAGTATTTAGATAACTTATATTGAGAACACTTAATAAATGTTAGCCATTACCTTAATTAATTCAGGTAACGGCTCTCTGAAATAAGTACTATAATTATCAACATCTTACAAATGAGAAAATGAGGCCCAGAACACTGAAGTAACTTGATCCAGGGAACACAGCTGGCTGTGGCTACTACAGCACTGTAAGCCTCAGGCTAGCAACGTGGAAGAGGCAGTTAAACAGAGGATAAATGAATATTTTCAGGGTTCCTGCAAAACGGCTTCTTCATTGAATGAGAATATAACAAATAACCCCCAGGGACAACTTTCAGCTCTAGGATTTTGTAAGTAAACAGTGATATGGGAGGAAGTCGTTGACCAAGCAGTGATATGGGAAGAAGTAGCTTCTGGTCTGGTAAGTATATTATCCCATCGTATTCTCAGTCATGCTCTTACTGAGCTGGCTATACTTGGGAGGGTATTGGGGAAAGAGGGAATTGAAAAACAATATGCACAGAGATGTTGTTACAAGCAGTTTTGTGGTTCGCTTTGGGCTTCCAAACTTAAATAAAATACCAAGCGATGCCTCATTGTGTAATATAGGCATATGATCAGCTTCAAAGTTATTTAGCCTAAATGCTAAATATAACTGTGAACCTCTTTAAGATTCATATAACTTCACAAGAGTACACTTTTTGTTGCCATGTGTGTCTGTGTATGTGCTCAATTAAAGTTAGCTGCAGAAAGATATTGTCGTATTAGAAATGGCTAGATAATTACAAAGAGTGATCACATAACCACACAGTAGAAAGAAAGGATAAATTTATTATATCCATTGGGGTAAGACATTTAATATATTAAAAAGCAAAATGATAATGTGGACAAGAAATTGTCCATACTAATTGGCTTTTTAAAAAAAAAAAATAAGTTAGTTACAGGTTACCAAAACTCTCAGAATATGCTTTATAAAATATTAGAAATCCTAGTAAGTCCACATTAAATACAGAACTAATTTGAATGTTATTTTTTTAAAGAATAGTAGCTTGTTTCACTTGGGAAGAGGCATAAAACTAATTTTTCATTTTGGTAGAAAAATTTAAATCTGATTGAATTATCTGAATGAAGAGGTATTCATTCAAGGAAAAAGACAGAAAAATCATATGATCTGATGATTTCATTGCAATTTAAATTTCAAGCATACTCATTTCTGGTGTAAGAATAGGAGTTAAAATTCAGTCAAGTGCCCAAAGCATATAAAATATGGGGTCTGCTATTCCACTAAGAGTAAAACTTGACTCCTACTAATACCTGTGAAATGTTACAGAGGTAGGTAATATTTAAAATAACAATATCCTTAAACTACATTTCCACAAAATGTATTTAGCCTAGGAAGTAATGCTTTGCAAAACCAAAAATCCTGCTTACTCTGAGTTATCATTTCACATCCTCTTTTAAGATTATCCTAACAATAACAAAAATATATCTAATAAATGTAAAAATGTATAACAAAGAAGTTTCATCATAAACAATTGCCCTTCTAACTTTAGCCTTCTGATCACCCTACGAGCTCACATCATTATTCTTATTAAAAAACTTATACATACAAGGCTCAGTTTAAAAAGAGATTACCAAATCTATCTGACAAAAGTCCAAACACACAAACCAAAAATATCCATAAGCATCCATGGCTAACTTTTGATACTTTCTTGGTAAAACTGATCTTCTAAGACAGTGAGTTAGTACAGAACCTAGCACCAAATGTAATGACTGCCCTTACACATTCCTTTAAAATTTTCACCTCTCTTTTATCAGTTTTTGATTGAATTTACTATATACAACCAGTGCATCTCTTGACATTATAAGCCTAAAAAGTATGGTAGCAATGATATAGATTGTATTATCATTTTCTTACTTAAAATAATTGTATTCTAACTTTTAAGCATTTTGTACTATAAAATAATAGGTTTAATTTCTATGACTAACATACTAATTAACATGCATTATTGTTTACAGGATCACAGTAAAAATACCATGGTTATTTTCTCAGCTCTAGAAAAGAAGCAAAACAACTCTTCTCTCAGGAAATACGACACAGCACGCTACTCTGTACCAAACTGTGTATTTAGGATAT